GTGTTGTGTGTGTTTTTGTGTGTGTGTTGTTGTGTGTGTTTTTGTGTGTGTTTGTGTGTGTGTTGTTGTGTGTGTTTCTGTGTGTGTTTCTGTGTGTTTCTGTGTGTTTTTGTGTTTTGTGTGTGTGTGTGTGTGTGTTTGTGCTTGTGCTTGTGTTTGTGTGTGTTTGTGTGTGTGTTTGTTTGGTTGGTGTGTTATTTGTTTTGTTTGGTTGTTGGGTTGTTTGGTTGCGTTTGTGTGTTTGATGTTGCCGAGTGGGTTGCTTTAGGCTAGTTTACAGTGAGATGCGCGTCGAAGATTGTGCTACCTGCTTGGAGGGTTTGGGCCAGAACATGTGCGTGATCTTCCAGGCTGCACAGACTGGTGAGTGTCTTAGGTTTCGCTCATAAATGTTGGGGTTTCTGGTGTAAGGTTGGTGGCTGCTCAGTTGTTGTTTCTGCTGAATTGCGAAATCCATTGCAACAACTGCTGCTGGCTTGTGAGCCTACGGGGACGAGAGCGCAACTTATGGGAAAGATGGCTGTTGTTTGCCTCCGTTTGCTCCCAGTCAACACTGCCCCTGGCATGCACATCAGCAACATAGCTGCCCAGGCCACTCGCCCCGGCGCTCGCCGCGGCGTTCGCCACGACGCTCGCCCCGGCGCTCGCCCCGGCGCTCGCCCCGGCGCTCGCCACGACGCTCGCCCCGGCGCTCGCCCCGGCGCTCCGCACGACGGTCGCCTCGGCGCTCTCAACGTCGCTCCTTACACCGGCGGAGCCGATCCAAGAGCCCGGACCTTAGCAGAAGATCAGAATGTGTGGAAATTTGCGATGCATGGGCACTAACCCCTGACAATTTGTTGCGAATTGCACATTGTTTTTTCCTTTCATGATGTTTGTATTTGGTCCGCCTTTGCGACCGGCATGATTGCTGTGAGGCTGCTGATGTTTCTTGCTGCCTCAAAAGATGTTGCGGCATGAATTTGTAAGCAACCATTTCACGGCTTCTTGCTCCTGCCCTTAGGGGGCAGGATGATCAGGGTGCTCGAGCCAAGACACCAGTGCCAGGGCATTCAACTCCATGAGATGGGAACGCTTGCAAGTTGCAGCGAACACTTTGGAAAGTACGGCGAGTCCAGCCTAGAGCTTCAAACACCAGGGTTTATTTCCGTCCAGATCTTGGCGTGAAACTCCAGCTTGAAGATGCTTGGAGGCCGCAAAAAGGCAAGAAGCAAGAGCAGGCGAGCTTCTGAGTTGTTACACCTCGTGATGCGTGTGGTCGTGAAATAGTTGGTGCTTTTTTTGACAACGAACCTTGCGAGATTGTGACCAGCTGCAAAGCATACCAGACCAAAATGTTTATTGTAAACGCTTCGCGTTGCCCGCCTCAACCACTCCGCTTTTGGCTGGCTTTGAGGCATATGCTGTGCTTTGGGTTTGCCTTGAAGTGTTGTTATTAAAGTGAGTGAGTCGGCGCCAAAATGCGTCAGCTGGTTTCCAAGCTAGATGTTTTTTGGGGGATTTGGGGATTTGACGGAGTTGGACCTGTTTTCAGAGGGGATTTGACAGGTTTCTAGAAGGGATTGACTGGTTTCTACGGTTTTGAGGGGGGATTTGATTGGAACCTGACCGGTTTTGAGGGGAATTTGCGGTTTGTGGGGAGATTTGACCGGAGTTGGACCAGCTTTGAGAGGAGGAAGCGGACCGGGACGGGTTTGCGGGGTTGGATCAGGGAGAATCTGGCAAAGTCGAAGGGGTGTGGCTCGCAGGCAGCTGGAGCAGGGATTTTTGCCGGGTCGGACGGGTCGGACGGACCATTTTAAAGTGGGGGGGATGGGGTTTAAAAGATCCCGAAGAGGTTCTGAAGGGGTCTCCGAGGCGAATTTGAAGGAACATACTGTACATGTTGCTTGAAAGATATTCTCGCGGACAACGGCCACGATGGCACCAATGCGTGCAGGTGAAACGTGTTGATGGAGTGGAAAGAGGGATATGAGAAGCCTTTCTTTGAGGCTTGCTGCTTGCTTTGATAGGCAGCGGAGTAGCTCCGCCAAAGAGAAGAGGCACCGAAGGGAGTGCAGAGGTTGAGCAAAACTCGTTCGATTCATGCCGTTCCATCAAGAAAGCAGCAGATGGTTCGAACTGCTGGCTTGAAGGATTCTGAGCATGCAGTCCACCGATATGCTTGTTTGCCAGATGCAGTAGATAGACTAGCTTGCTGGCAGACACAGTCGGCAGGCCGTAGGTCACTTGGTTAGCGAATCCGACACTGATCATTGTCAGCACGGGGACAAGTTGAGAGCCGTACGGAATGGATCGATGGAAGGGTTGTGCCCGCTTGTTCGAGGAAACCATCCTCTGCGTCGCCTGCAAACAAGAAGGCAGGGGTGTATGCAGGCGGTTTGTCAGAACATCATGACGACATGTTGACGCCTTGCAGTCTCGTCTTTCAAATGGCCATGTTTAGAATCATAGAGCATAGTTCATTCGATATCAACATTCGATGCTTTGTCTAGTTTCACTTCTCAGGCAAAGTCTTACATGTCATTTGCCCCCTTCCAGTGAAAGATGCGATCCATTTCCTGAATGCAGGCATCAAGGATTCCCTAGTTGGTCAGATGGGTTCTGTCAACTGAGTAGCAATCAGACTGCATGATGTTAGATTTTCAAAAGGGGGACCAACTATGCGTCCCGTTTTGTGCAGCTGCCTAAATGTGGGTCCATTTCATGTGACATCCTCAAAACTGTCATCTGACTGCTTAAGCGCGAAACTCCGCAAGTCCTTTTCCTCATACCCCTCATACCCCTCATACCCCTCATACCCCTCATACCCCTCATACCCCTCATACCCCTCATACCCCTCATACGCCTCATGCCCCTCATACCCCTCCTACCCCTCGTACCCCTCATACCCCTCATACCCCTCATACCCTTTCCCGCAACTTGGGGCCCATTCGGCCGCTTCCTGCGGAGGCGCGCTCCAGCTCCCCACGCGGCTTGGCGCCGCCACCGCCGCCGGAAGAGGAGGGATGGTCGTGAGACTCTGCGTCTGGTGTCTGTGAGTGTGTCTCGTTTCTTGTGATTCTTTCGGTTGGTGCGTGTACCAATGGACGGTCAAACCATTATTTACTGTTTAAGGTAGTAAAGGGGATGACATGGGTCACACTCAGCAAAGTACCAATAGGAAATGGGGGGGTGCTCACCAAAATTCCCATGTCACATTGACCATATATTCATATATATATATTATATATATAATATATAGATATTATATATATACACATACTATACATATATATATATATATACACGTGACGTGTGTGTGTGTGTGTGTCTTTGTGTGTGTGTGTGTGTTGTTGTTGTATGTATGTATGTATGTATGTATGTATGTATGTATGTATGTATGTATGTATGTATGTATGTATGTATGTATGTATGTATGTATGTATGTATGTATGTATGTATGTATGTATGTATGTATGTATGTATGTATGTATGTATGTATGTATGTATGTATGTGTATGTATGTATGTATGTATGTATGTATGTATGTATGTATGTATGTATGTATGTATGTATGTATGTATGTATGTATGTATGTATGTATGTAATGTATGTATGTATGTATGTATGTATGTATGTATGTATGTATGTATGTATGTATGTATGTATGTATGTATGTATGTATGTATGTATGTATGTATGTATGTATGTATGTATGTATGTATGTATGTATGTATGTATGTATGTATGTATGTATGTATGTATGTATGTATGTATGTATGTATGTATGTATGTATGTATGTATGTATGTATGTATGTATGTATGTATGTATGTATGTATGTATGTATGTATGTAATGTATGTAATGTATGTATGTATGTATGTATGTATGTAATGTATGTATGTATGTATGTATGTATGTATGTATGTATGTATGTATGTATGTATGTATGTATGTATGTATGTATGTATGTATGTATGTATGTATGTATGTATGTATGTATGTATGTATGTATGTATGTATGTATGTATGTATGTATGTATGTATGTATGTATGTATGTATGTATGTATGTATGTATGTATGTATGTATGTATGTATGTATGTATGTATGTATGTATGTATGTATGTATGTATGTATGTATGTATGTATGTATGTATGTATGTATGTATGTATGTATGTATGTTTGTAATGTAATGTAATGTAATGTAATGTAATGTAATGTAATGTAATGTAATGTAATGTAATGTAATGTAATGTAATGTAATGTAATGTATGTATGTATGTATGCATGTATGTAATGTATGTATGTATGTATGTATGTATGTATGTATGTATGTATGTATGTATGTATGTATGTATGTACGTGATGTATGTATGTACGTGATGTATGTATGTATGTATGTATGTATGTATGTATGTATGTATGTATGTATGTATGTATGTATGTAATGTATGTAATGTATGTAATGTATGTAATGTATGTATGTATGTAATGTATGTAATGTATGTAATGTATGTGTATGTATGTATGTATGTATGTATGTATGTATGTATGTAATGTATGTATGTATGTATGTAATGTAATGTAATGTACTGTACTGTAATGTAATGTAATGTAATGTAATGTAATGTATGTAATGTAATGTAATGTATGTATGTATGTAATGTATGTAATGTATGTATTAATGTATGTATTAATGTATGTATGTAATGTATGTATGTATGTATGTATGTGTGCATGTATGTATGTATGTATGTATGTATGTATGTATGTATGTATGTATGTATGTATGTATGTATGTATGTATGTATGTATGTATGTATGTATGTATAATGTATGTATGTATGTATGTATGTATGTATGTATGTATGTATGTATGTATGTATGTATGTATGTAATGTAATGTAATGTAATGTAATGTAATGTAATGTAATGTAATGTAATGTAATGTAATGTAATGTAATGTAATTATGTATGTATGTATGTATGCATGTATGCATGTATGTATGTAATGTAATGTAATGTAATGTAATGTAATGTAATGTAATGTAATGTAATGTATGTAATGTAATGTATGTATGTATGTAATGTATGTATGTATGTTTGTTTGTTGTTTGTTTGTTTGTTTGTGTGTGTGTGTTTGTTTGTGTGTTTGTGTGTGTTTGTTTGTTTGTGTTTTTGTGTGTGTTTGTGTGTTTGTGTGTTTGTGTGTGTGTGCGTGTGTGTTTGTTTGTTTGTTTGTGTGTTTTTGTGTGTTTCTTTGTTTGTGTGTGTTTTTTTGTGTGTGTGTGTTTGTGTGTGTGCGTTTGTTTGTGTGTGTGTTTGTGTATGTTTGTGTGTGAGTGTTTGTGTGTCTGTGTGTGTGTGTTGGTGTGTGTGTATGTGTTTTTGTGTGTGTGTTTTTTTTGGGTGTGTGTGACTGTGCGTGTTTGTGCGTGTCTGTGCGTGTCTGTGCGTGTCTGTGCGTGTCTGTGCGTGTCTGTGCGTGCGTGCCTGCGTGCCTGCGTGCCTGCGTGCCTGCGTGCCTGCGTGCCTGCGTGCCTGCGTGCCTGCGTGCCTGCGTGCCTGCGTGCCTGCGTGCGTGCGTGCGTGCGTGCGTGGGTGGGTGGGTGGGTGGGTGGGTGGGTGGGTGGGTGTGTGTGTTTGTGTCTGTGTCTGTGTCTGTGTCTGTGTCTGTGTGTGTGTGTTTGTGTGTTTGTGTGTGTGTGTGTGTTTTTGTGTGTGTTTTTGTGTGTGTTTTGGTGTGTGTTTTTGTGTGTGTTTTTGTGTGTTTTTGTGTGTGTGTGTTTTTGTGTGTGTGTTTTTGTGTGTGTGTGTGTGTGTGTTTTTTTGGTGTGGGTGTGTGTGTGTGTGTGTGCGTGTGTGTGTTTTTGTGTCAAAGGTGGAGGGAGCAACTCATGGAAGTTCGAGATTGGAGTCAGAAGTTGAGCTGAATTTTGGCGAGCCAACAACAACACTACCATTACTGAGATGGGGCTTGAATACAGCCAGCCTGTGAACAGCATGCCATGTAGATGCGCGCCTGTGGTGGCGGTTGATTTGCTCCTGCGAGACAAACAACATGTCCGCCAAGCTGCCAGGAGTTCGATCTCAGCAAGTTCCCACCGTTCACTTGCGTGAGGCAAGTGATGCAGCGCTCGGCAAGTGCGGCTTTGCGGTGTGAAATTGACAATCTTCAGATCAGGGCTGAGTCTACGAAAATTTGCCCTTGTGCATGACCAGCGGCCAGGCTGAAAGGACTCAAGGTCAACACAGACCTGAACGGCCTGTGTGGGATCGCCAGCTGCTCAGACAAGTTGGTGGTCAGCAAAGAGAGAATTCGACTGCAACGGCAATCCCTTTTTGGTTTTGCGCCTTAAACGCCAGGCACACTGCTTTTGGCCAGTGACACAAGTGAGCCACAGAGCACGGCCCTTTTGACAGGTGGCTCCGGCAGAGCTGACGCCGCAGCAGCCCCAGGTTCCAGGCACGCTGAAGGTGCGCTTGGAATCGGAGCGGGAGGCGCGGAGCGCGGTGTGCGCGTGACGGCCAATCCCGAATCTTTATCCATGGCATCCGACAGCATCCGACAGCATCCGACATGCGATTTTCGCGGCAGGTGGCTGTGCGGCCACCGAACCTGGACACCTTGGAGGGTGGGGGGCCCAAGTGCGTGAGTGCAAAGGATTGCAAAGGATTGCAAAGGATTGCAAAGGATTGCAAAGGATTGCAAAGGCACACGGGACACGGAAGGGAATCCGGGAAGAACCTGCGCCATGGCTTGAGTTGCAGCTTCCGGCCACAATGGTCACCTCATTGCGCAGTTTCTTCACCGAGGCCAAGAAGCTACGCTGACTGCCCAGCAGCGAGAGAAGCTGCACAAGGCGCTGACGGGTCTGCGGTTCAGCGAACGTGTCAATACCAGGGACGCGTGTGTGAGGTTCGGCCCAACCTAGCGATTTGGAAAAGGCATTGGGGGGTGCCGCATGTCCGAGGGCCCGAGGATGGTAGCAACACATGAGTTTTCGACAAGTGGACAAGCAGAAAGTAAGCCATTTGCAGATTTTTACGCTCTGCAACTTCTGTTTCTGCCTGGCCTTCTGTCTCTACCTTCGGCCGATTGAACTGGGCAGATCCATACAGATGGCTTGTTCAATTTGCAGGTGATGATGGAGCTGCAGACAGAGGCCTGCGGCAGCCGCGCCTGGGGCTTTTGCTCGGGCTATGCCTCATGTTACGTTTGCGGCCATGCCATCATCGCGAATCAACCATGCTTTCCTTCCAGTGGGAAAACTATCCTGGTCAATATTCATTTGTTGTTTGTAATTTGAGGGAGAGAAGAGGAGTCAGGATTGAAATGTGGGTCCGTGAAAAGTCTTTCTGGCCCAGGTTTGGTTTGATTTGGAGGAACTACGATTTTGCAGGATAGGAAGCAAATGAGGTTTGCTAGTCTTTTCGTGTGCATCTATGTTCCTCATGCAATTTTGCCAGCGTCCACACGTGGCCAAGAGCAGGGAGCCATCGGAAACCCCCTGAATATTGCATTTGCATGTGCCTTGTTTGATTGGCTACACTCGTGACCTTGGGGCGGGGGTCAACGCCTTGGTGTAGAAGATTGTAGAAGTAAATCATTGTCTGAAACCAAAAGATTCTGGTTTGTTCAGAAGCGTTGCCGTCCTTGTTTGCCAACCTTGCGGAAAGGCGGAAAGCTAAATTGTTTGGAATAGGAGTAGCTGAACATCAATGCAAGGAATGAAGCGGCCGACGGACGTGAGCATGACGGCAGAGGCTTCGCCACCCCCAAATGAAATAAGGTATTCTGTTTTCCAGGACCCCTCACTCCATCCCTCACCTCTTCTTGTCAAAGGTAATGTGTTGCCCTGTAGTAGAGAAATATGTGTGCAATGTCAATGAGCTTCGGCGAATAAGTTTGGGCGCAGCTAGCAGCACAATAGGAAGAGCCAAGCTCTGACCATGCACAGAAACAATCAACTTCAATGAAAAGTGCAGTGTCAGCTGACTTCTAAATTCAGCTGACGCCAGAGTCAGACAATCGATGCAACTCAAGTGACTTATTTGCAATCCCGTTCGGTTCATTTCAACTTTGGGGATCCAAGTTGTCTCGGGGTTCCCCTCCGAATTCGCTCTGCTAGGCTGCTGGTGGCGTGCAGGCGCGGCGTGCCGCTGCAGCAGCCGCAGTGGCTGCAGCTGCAGAAGCGGCCGCGAAGGCGCGAGACTCGTTCGACGCAGCCCATTCAAGCCGCATCAAGCCGCAGAGAAAGCGGGGTGAGGCAGAGAGGCAGGAAGAGGATCAGCCAGAGAATCAGCCATTAGAGCTTCAAAAGGAACTTTCATTATGATTTGATAGCCTTCAAAAGGGTCATGAGTGATGAAGTAATTAGCGAGAATGCACACTAAATTGCCCAGGCAGCTGGAAAGTGAAGCCAGGCACGCTTGTGTGAAAACGGTGGTTGCCTGGTTGCGCGATTGCTTCCCTCTGCACGCGTAGATGATGTATGTAGGCTTGGAGATCGGTTTGTTTGTACCAGAATGAAACAAAACCTATGTCAAATCCATTGGTCCTTGAATTGATTCAAAAATCATTATCGCATCGTATGGAAGGCACCAATCATAAACAACGAACATAATTATTGAAGAAAACATAGAATTAATATAATTATAGGATTATTATATATATATATATTTAAAGAATTTATATTAAAATAACATAAATAAAATTTTAATTTAATATTATTATTTTTTAAATATATTGATTTAGTATATTATTTGAATTAATTGTTTGATTTCTTATGGTTTATATAATATTATATATTTGGAAAAGGAAATAATAAAATATAAATAATTGATTGTATATTAATAATGAATAAATAAATAAATAAAATAAGATGAAATTTTTTAATAGAATATAATATATATTTTAGTGTTTATGGTATTTTATGTTTTTTATAGAATTTTATGGAATTTTATTATTTTTTTATTTTATTTATATTTATTAATTACTTTTTAAATTCTATGATTTTAGAATTATAGGGAATAAATGAATGAAAATAAAAGAAGAAAATGGAAATTGAAATAAGATAGAAATTAATAGGTATAAAAGGGAAATATTATGCCATTCTTTGTTTGTTTGTGAATTTTTCTCGCTGGTTAACTCTTTGTGTTATATTTTTATTAAACCACTAATCCAGGAATTCTTCTAAACGTAATTAAATATAAAAAGACAATAATAAAATTCCAAGAATAAATACTAAATTAATAAAAAGAAAAGGAAGAGACCTACAAAATATCTTATCTGGTCCTACTTTTTTATATCTTTTCTATTGGTTTTCGTTAATTGATTAGGAAATGATATTAAAGAAAATCTAAGATGAATAAATAGAAAATAAAAGAATTCTAAAATAAACAATAAATGATAAAAAGAGAATAGATACAAATAGAAATATAATATAATTAAATAGAAAATAAGCAAAATAATTCTAACATAGAACAAAGAATAAACAATAAAATGAATCTTGAAAGGGGGCTATAACACGTGATAATGTTGTTATTTTGTTGAACCGGAATTATAGAAATAAATATAAAAAGATAAAAACATAACATAAAAATTGAGATAAATATTATTTAAACAGATAGATATGAATATACGGAAATAGATAAAGAATCACAAAAAGATATAAAAAATAAAGATGAACGAAAAAATAGATATATAATATAGAAATAAATCGAAATAATGCGAGAAATAAAGATATAGATAGATAGGAATATAGAGGCACAGACATAAAAAAAGATTTGAATATATAGAGATACACAAGGATAGATAGAGAAAGATAGAGAAAGATAGAGAAAGATAGAGAAAGATAGAGAAAGATAGAGAAAGATAGAGAAAGATAGATATGGATATATGGAAATAAATTGGGACAGATAGAGAGAGGTAAAGATACGAAGATATTCGGCACCTCCAAAATTTCGATTCGGATAGGTTTTTAAATTTCCCCGAAATTTTGGCTCGATAATTAGCAACTAATTTTTTAAGAATTTTATGGAGATGATGTCCGGAAACCTAAGATCCGCGCCGCCGAAAGATCCAAAATTCGGTAAACTTTAGCCGGGTTATGCCACGGGAATTCTAAACAAAATTGTTAAGAACCTTTTGAAATTTTGGCAAAAATTCGGGGCCTTCTAGGCCGCACAAAAAGGCGGGAGCTTATGCCATAGACAAAATCGGAACAAACATAGTCGCAAACACGACGAAGCCGGAGTACCGCTGCAACGGCTTATTGGAGCATGGGCAATGCGACCTCGAGTTATATTGGTTTATAAGAAAAAATATATGTATATATATATTTAAAAAATTGATTGGTTTTGATTTTTATTTTTTTTATATAAAGAAAATTAATTATATATATAGTTTGGAATTCTTATATATTTGTTAAAAGACGATTTTTTGTTTATTTTATAATATTGTTGAAATTGGATATAATGAAATATTTAAAGGGTTTATATATGTATTTGAATTTTATAATATAAAAAACTAGTTATATTATATATATGTTTATTTATAAAAAAAAAATAATTATTAGAATTATATATAATTTTTATTTAAATAATAGATAATTGTGGAATTTAATATTAATATTATATATATATATATATAATAATTCATTATATTTATCTCCTGCAAAAATGCAAAAATGCGCCCCCCAAAACAGCACCTACACCAGCATCCCAAACTGCACGCGCCCTAGCACTAGCCCATTAATCTCGCAAATCACTTTCCCCTCTTTATTGGCAGTTGGAACCCCTATAGTTTTCAGTTATCTGGGGAAATATAATATGCGGAGCACATTTTCATAGCTCCGGCTGCAAAATTATAATTTTTCAATTACAAAAATACGAGAAATATATTGCTATAGCTCCGATAACACTTGCATAGAGTAATTTGTATAGAATTATTTGCGCAGAGCAATTTGCGCAGAGTAACTTATATAAACACTTGTATAAAGCACTTGCGTAGAGCAACTTACATAGACCAACTTGCGCAGAACACATACGCAAAGCGCTTGCACGGAGCAATTAACGCAGAACATTTGTGTAGAACAATTTGCGCAGAATATTAGCGCGCAGCAGCTTACAAAGAACAATTTGGGTGCAAGAGCCTGGAACAATGCAGTTTACGTAGACGATTTTCGTGAGAAATTGCGCGGCGCAATTCGTGCAAAACAAATTACGCCGAGTAGACTCGCGCAGAGCTAACTTGCACAGAGCTAAGTTGCGCGAGCGTGTTTTGCAGAAATTGTGGTCATCGTATAAGCTTTACTATTGAGTATTTGTCTTTTTTCTTTTTGTTTGTAATCGTCTCGGCCTTTACGAGCTTTTTTTTTGTTTTGTTTTAACGAATATAAATATGTGGGATCGAGCATTGCTATATTGTTTTCGTAAGATGTTGAATGGAGTTTTTATCGCCGCGCGCAGATATGCTCGCCGCAGCGCTGTAAAAAGGTGTCTCCGTGGATAGATAAGTGCCTAGGGAAAAATACTTATGGACTAATCTTTTTTTTCATTTTTTTTAAAAATAATTATATATATATATATTATAGATTATATTAAATTTTATTGCAATTTATAACATGATTTAAATATAATAAAAATTTATTTGCAAATTAGAATATTTTCAATATATATTCTGTTTATTTATAAATATTATAAGATAGAAAAAATAATAACTTAAAATTTGATAAAACATAATTTAGTTATAATATATGATTTGTTATGGAACGAATGTATTTATGAAAAATGTTTTTTGGAGGTTAGAAAAATAGTGTATTTAGATATTTTTATATTTTGATTGAAATATTATATTTGATTTGCGAGAGTTTGGCGATATTTATTATGATTAGCTGTGTTTTTCTTAATAACTTAAACGAAATAAGTTTAGCTTTATTTGTACCTAGGATATGTTTTGGTCGATGGTATTTTCGTATACGTTATTGTAGTAATTATATTTGGGGATGGATTTTTTGAGGCTAATAATCTATGGGTTTATTCTCCCTTTGTTTAAACGATTAAATGTTTACACGTTGGTGATGGGCATCTGAGATATATTGCTGCTTTGTGTATAGCAGTGCATCAGGAAATATATTGAGGTGCTGCTAAGAGATTCTATTTACAATTCGTCTGAAAAAATATCTTTAGAATTAAGTCTCTAGTTTAATATAACATATAGTTTTTCGAAATGTTTTACTTGGACAAGGTCCAAGGCAAAAATATATTTATCTATAATTGTAAAATTGGAATGATTTTTTAATTTTATGATCTAATTCTATTATTCTTTTGCTGTGGACTTCTTTTAGCACGTTGCTAGAAAATAACGGGCCCCCATTAGTATTTGATATTTATATATATAACAAATATATATATAATAATATTTTAAAATTAATAAATATATATATTTTGAAAAATTAGATATTTTTTCCAAAACTATGACGAAGGGTTCTTTTGTGCGGAGCTTTTGGTTAACTTGCATAAAATGACTAGCATAGAGATATTAAGAGCTCTTGATTAATTTGTGCAGAATAGCTTGCATAGAGTCATTAGTATAGAGATACTAATATGGAGACACTCCTGAAATCCCCAAAATGAGGTAATGAAAGAACAACTAATTAATTGTCCTACAAAAGCAACAAAGACACAAGCATGACTAGTTCGAAATATCCATGGAATTATGTATGTTCAAATATTGGGGTTAAGGCGGTGCCTTGAATCGGCGGCCATGCCTATAGTGAACAATTTGGGAAGCCTTATACTCCTGTCTGCCATCTCGTCTTGTTAGCAGAGAGTAGCTTGCATAGAGTTACTAGTATGGAGATATTTGCACAAAATCACGAGTATGGAAATACTAATATGGAGATACTTGCACAGAGTCACCAACATGGAGATATTTGCATAGAATTACTAGCATTGAGTTACTTGCGCAGAGCTTTACGCAAAGAGCTAAGCGTATAGAGCCAAACGCATAGAGCTAAGTGTTTATAGCGAAGTGCAAAGAGCGAGGTGCAAGGAGCCAAGCGCACGGAGTTAAGCGCATAGAGCCAAGTGCAAAGAGCGAAGTGCATCAAGCTAGGTGCATAGAGCTAAATGCATAGAGTTAGGCGCATAGACCTAAGCTAAGCTAGGTGTAGAGGTTCGGCGGTAGCAACTATATGAATTAAATTAAAAAAAAATATTTGGAAAGAAAGAGTTCGGTATTAAGAATTTCTTTTAAGGCGGGGGGTGGGGATGTTGCCGACGATCGGGAATGCGACCCTTTACGGGGGCAAAAATTCAAGGTTTTTTGTTTTTTTGTTTAATTTGCCCGAACGATTTTTTGCGGAAATCGACGTGGTCGAGGTGCAAAAACTCGAGGTTTTTTTGCCCATGCGACCCTTTACGGAGATCGTGTATGTTGAAGCGCTTTCGTTGTGGTGCCGTGCGAATTCTTTTTAGTCTTGGCGAACTTTTTACGGAGATTATGTGTGTCGAAACGCTTTCGTTGTGGTGCCGGATAATTTTGTTGCTCGCGAAATGATTTTTGGAAGTTGTTTCGTGGTTTGCGCGCTTATTTTCATAATCCCATAGTCACGGGTTTGATCCCCCC